CACGTAATGGTGGTCAGGAAATGCCATTCATTACGTACGCTTGAAAGACAACGAACGCATTTTGCATACACACAACGTATTAAAATCCAACGATAAACAACAAGGGTTATATTACACGCTTCACAGAGGTGAGACAACGAAAGTGTGTACTTTTGTTCTGTTTAGCGTAGGAGCAACGACCACACATACACAATTTCCACTTCCACTTTATCAACAGTAGAGTTGGGTCAGGAAATGATCATTAATTGAATACGGAAAAAAAAAATGCTGCAACCCACGGAAACGGTTCCAACAAAAAGGGGTCGGGCGTTGCTCAAAGGTTAGCCCGCTATGAATCTGAGGGTAAATGGTTCGTGTCCCGTTGCCGCAAAATCGTTGAGGCCCTAAGAATGTTAGAAGAGTTGGCAGTGTGGGTGCTGTTAACTAGGTGCCTTCCCTCTAATCTGTCAGTTCGAATGTAGGGACGACCAATGCAGATAACGGCTGTGTAGCTTAGCGCAAATATCTAAAAGTAAAAAAAAAGTTTTTGAAAGACCAGTTACAGTTTTCGTTTTGGATATTTTAATAGAAAGATGATAATGTCACACACACACGACACAAGTAAAACTACGCTTGAAACTCAATATCATGAATATATATATATATATATATACAAACACATATATATATAATATTGAAAGGACCACCAGGTTCTAAATACTGTATTTTTTAATATCTTTAGTTGGTTCATTTATATTTTTGTCCAAATATTTTTACTGGAAATGTATTTGTTGTATAAACATTTTGATTTTGTTAAAAGGTATTTATGTATTGTATTTTATTATGGTTGGCAAAAGCGCTTCCACCCAACTAAAGATTTTATAAAATACGGTATTCCGAACCTGGTGGTCCTTTTAATATTTTTGATTTATCATTACGCTCAATAAGATCACACACAGATATATATATATATCCTCCTCATATTTTGTGAGCTGAATTTTTGATGCGAAATTTTTGTCCACAATATTCTGGAAACGGATGATAACAGCGGTGGAAAGCTTGTCACCGTATTACATTGTAAAACACGACATTAAACAATCTTGCCCAGAACAGTGTAGGATATTCGTTAAGCAAAAGCCAGTGATAAAGAATTAACACATTGGCCCTACCAAAAAGTATAACAATAGTTGTTTTAAATTTAACACGGGTATAAACGAGTATTGTTTAAGAATGAAACATGTCGGCGTTCATCTTCTAAATAAAGCAACCACATGTTCGCTGTGCGCATGCTTCACAAAGCGTTTCCAAAGTTTTGAGAATGTAAAAAAAAAAGGGTTGGCTATCTGTGATCGAAGCCCGATTTTTAGCGTGGAAAGCCTGCAGATTTACCGCTGAGCCACTGGTGGGCACTGACGAAAGCTCTTTTAGAAACAATCAATACGTAATTGGAGCTCGAGTTGTTATCCTTTAACTTCATACATAATATTATGTTCAGTAAGTTTTTACTTTAAAAAGTACTGATATCAAATGTTGTTGTTTTTTTATTTATATGCCACGGATAACGTCCAAAACGAAAAACGTTATTCTAACTAGAAACCGCCAATGTACGCTAGCATATAATTAAATCTGTTCAACAGCAAAACAGGGAAAATTGTGCAAACTCAGTATTGTTTGAAGGCATAAAATACGACTTATTTTAATTCCATAGCTACAGTGTTTTGGAGATGCTTCAAATTATAGTGTCTTATTTTCCCCAAACATCACTGTACCCAATTCTCCCAAAACTCCTAACAGACAAGATATAGTAAAATTTAAACCTAAATCAGAAAAATTAACAAAAGAAATCAAATTAGAAATTAATCTCAAAAGTAAACAGACTCTCATACAGGTGTTCCTACATTAAAATCTCGATGTTTTTCGTGTGTGTTTTTTCTATGTTTAGTCCTTGCGTAATTAAGCTAGTCTCCTTTAAAAGCTACATTATGTAGCTCTTTGTTTAGTCTACGGGTGCTTTTATATGCTTTATTCAATACAGGTATTTCACACGAGGAAAGGTCAGTTTTTGCCCCAAAACAGGTATAGTTTTAGATAAGAAATAGAGCATGCATGATGGCTTGATTTCTGGAACTTGAATCATGAGTAAAAATAAAAGACAAAACGAAAAGTATCAGATAACTGAATTATTCATTGTTCGGGAACTGAACTAATCACAGGTTATATCCAAATCATCAATTCTGAATTACATTCCAGTCATTCTCCCCTTTATGCTATCCACAATGCATTGAACATTATGGCAGACATGTTTCAAAATTGTCGTGTCGTAAGGCGTACGGATAAGATTTTATCGTTGGTTTAGCCAAAGAATGTACCTTACAATTATAGCTTATAATATAGCTTAAATTAGTTGACTATTTCATTGGTCAGTAATATCAAAACAGTTTTACCCGATAAATTAGTTTTGTTGTTAATCGCAAAGCAACACAATGGGCTATGGATGTCGAAACTCGGTTTTAGCGTTATAAGCCTTCAGACTTACCGCTATGATGGGACAACAGGATTAAATTCCAACCAAAAAAAAAAGGAGTGTGAACCTAGTCTTAGAAGTCAGAAGTAGATTACAAGAAAAGCTCTGTCTGAAATCTTAGATTTTTTTGACATTAACAAAGTATTCAGAGTTTCCAACCAAAAAAAAAGGAGTGTGAACCTAGTCTTAGAAGTCAGAAATAGATTACAAGAAAAGCTCTGTCTGAAATCTTAGATTGTTTTGACATTAACAAAGTATTCAGAGTTCAAGTTTTAAAGTAGAACATGTTCAGAATGATATTTCATGTGATCTTCATCAATGTACGTTTAATAGAAGATAATCAATTGATTTTTAATCAGACAGAGAAATCGATTTTTGCAGTCTGCCACAAGAAGTTCTGTGGTTACTTGTTTTCCTGGAGAATAAAAGTGTATTAACGTCTTTTACGTAAGGAAAGTGAATTGGTGTGACACAAGAAATTGGCCTCAGGTCACATTAATTTTCTCATATATTTGATTATGTTTACTAACCAGCATAAGAAACAACGGCTGATAAACATGAAACTTCAGAAAAAGCCAAAAAAAAAAAAATCTAAATGTTTTAAACTTTATGTAAAAATGTTAAAGTAAAGTGTATGTAGATATAACTACCCTTGTGGCTTTACATACATTTTACTGTAACATATCATCATAGATATAACTACCCTTGTGGCTTGATGATGATATGTTACAGTTAAGTGTATGTAGATATAACTACCCTTGTGGTTTTATGATAATATGTTACAGTAAAGTGTATGTAGATATAACTACCCTTGTGGCTTTATGATGATATGTTACAGTAAAGTGTATGTAGATATAACTACCCTTTATGGCTTTATGATGATATGTTACACTAAAGTGTACGTAGATATAACTACCCTTTATGGCTTTATGATGATATGTACTTTTGTGGTTTAATAAATCATTTACTTATTTTTAACTGAGATATTAGTATAGCCCTGAACGCAAAATTTCAAAACAAAGGAATTTATTTCACAGTTAAATACTTTATTTTCCTTCTAATATTTACTGATAAGACGAAGGATTTAGTACATTTACAGATCTGTAAAAAACGCCACATCTGTTAATTCGGTTCCATTCAGAACTGAAAAACTATTCCCATCAAGAGTACCACTGTGTAGTTGTTAAATTTTTACAAAACTTCAGCGCATTTAAGTAGTTTAGGAATTTATACTAAACTGATGAGAATAACGAATAGACTGTACAACGTAACAGCTATGCATATTAAGACAAAATAATACTTAAAGTGATTACTTAAACATAACCTAATCCAGTTCGCAGTTCACACGAGTAACAGTTGTTATGCGATTTGCTAATATAGAGGTCTCTTCGACAATGGATATAGCAGATATCCATTGACATATGGTTGACATATTATTACACATTTTTCGTATCTTTCACCCAGGAGTCCTTATTAATAACAAAATCAATATTACTAACTGTCCAAAGATATAAGACACGTTCTTGCAGTGTACATAATACAACCAGAAATTTTAGCAGGCCTAGCCGTTTGTTAAATGCATGCATAGCATACACATGTTTATCTATGCAGACAAGACTTCTAGAAAAAAACATATGGTTACCAAAGTAAAACATAAATTCTGTTATAAGATGGGCAAGTTCATAGTAACACAGAGGGAGTAACGCTTTAGAAGTTTTACTCGACTACGATTTTCCTGACATATTCTCTCACCCCCACAACTCTATTTGGGGGAGTCAGGTGATTCACCTCTTATTAAGTGATGACTCAGTTGGCCTTGCTGACTAATTATTTCGGGAGCACGATGTTAGCTGATGACGGAAGAAGAGGAGGGATCCTAAGCACATGCTCCTAAAGCTGTGGGTGCTCAGTTTCATTGACGTATGAATACATCTGACGACACAGCTATAACGTTTCACGTCTCGTTTTGAAGCGTATGGAAGTCTTCGCAATGGTTAAAAAAATATTAATAAGTACAAAGTACTTTGTTTTCGTACCGTTAGTAATTAGCTTAGGAATAAGGAAACATACTAATCAACAGGGGGGGGGGGTATTATATGATTGGTATGTTTGAGGCTTCAATCCTAGTAGTATCCGAATCCAACAGAAAACTGGATCAAAGACTAATCGATTATGCAAAATTCTGCATCTAACCATCAATCTAACTAGAACGTCGCTCAGGAGAGCATTTAAGTATATTTTATTACACATCTAAAGATTAAACATTTATCTATTACTTACTGAGATGCACGGTAGATGCATTGTTATTAAGTATAATTATGGTGTATACTTACACAGTATGTTCGAATACATCTGTAGTTTTCAGTAACGCATAAGTTAGTTCACATAGCAAATCAATATTTCGTTCTTAGGTGTTACAGCTATAAGATTTACACGGTGGTAAATGGCCATTAACTTCGTTACGTTACATTATAAATACATATTCCCAAAAACTTACGTCAGCATCTGCATCATCCTCTACTTCAATCCCGGGGTCAGAGAGCAATTCGTCGTCGGTGTCGTTTCTGAGGTCAGATGGTTCAGCTACCCACTGACCTGTTCGTCGTTCACAAGGCGGGGAAAAAGCCGCAGTTACTGCCGCCATGGCAAGCCTCTCAAGACTGCGGCTTTTCGTCGTCACGTTCGGATCCTGATACGTTAATCTTCTGTATTCCTGCGCCTGCCTGCTTAACAAGAGCGAGCTCATGTGGGGCTCACTTTCTCTCTCATTGGCAGACAAAGAAGTCGGTGTAGTGGCCAAGACGCTGGACGCCGGGAAGATTGAATTTTCAACTTGTTATTGACTGGCTCATCGTGTATGACTACATCGGGTGCAAGGTCATACTGAATCACAACAAAATAAAAAGTCTGACTTCAACAAAGTAGACACAGGTCAACACGTTCTAGACGAGTGATTCAGTCAAGCAAGAGAAACTTAACCAGCCGAGCACTTGTGCTTACCAGAAACGCGCCAAAGCGATACGAAATTCAGCATTGACAGGCGATTTTTTTTTCAGCGCCTCATTATCAAACACAGACTAGCATAATATTGATGAACTTCCTTAGAGACAGATCAAGGTTTTTTCATCAGATAAAGCCAACAAATATATTCAGTCACGTACAATAAACTTCCCCTTCAAACTGGGTGTACCAAAAGTGCTTCCAAAATTGAATAATTGATAATGATGAAGCCTTTCTTTCACAACATTGTATTTAGATATTCAGAACGAAATTGAAATTTGTAAATATAAAGAAATAATGTTATCACACAGTTAAGTTTTGATGACATTCTCTGAAGCTGTTCTCTTCTTAACTGGATAAACAAAAGTATACTTAGTTCAGCTTTGTAATTCCAGATTTTTATCTTTAGATTTTGTAATATTAAGAAATAAAAAACAACTAAATTTAACCTGAACAGTCGTAACTTTTAAGCTAATTCTCTACACTGTTGAACGGACGAAGTACTAGGTTATGCCAAGCAGTGTGTCTATTATATACGTACACGTGGGGTAACTCAAGCTGATTGGTCCATTAAGCTTCCAGTAGCGATGAGTTTTATACACGGATAACTACCACATGGAGACTGCGTGAAGAATGAACATCCACACGTATACACACACATTCTTTTCAGTTTTGTATGATTTTTGTAAGTTTCGTGTTATCCTTTTCAACGAAACAATGTTCAGTTGATTTAAAAATGACAGGAAACAGATCGATCGGGAATCGTATATAAGACGCGATAATTTAAACACCTATTGTTCAGAAAATAGTGCTTTTATGACCTAATACACATTACACAGCGATTTGTAGATAATATCCCACGCGTTTAATAGTACTTTTATATAATGAAATCGAGTTACAAGCATCCAACTTCTCCCCTGACTGTTAAATCAAACATAACGATCACATACTTAAAATTATACTTTTAATGGAAAAGAAACTCAATATGTCCTTAAGGAACTGTAAAGCTTTTTTGTTAACTAGAAATTAGCAGCGTCTGGGCTTTAATGTAATAAAACCTGCTACCAGTTATCACTGATATTGTCATTCATCAAGAAAGTTGTAAGATCTACTGAGCAATCAAACCATATGCGGCATGTAAAAATAAAAGAAAAAAAGAATTTATAGTTTCCATATGGCATGTAAACACATCATTAACCGCTCCATAAGCTCACACACACACACCAACACATATACATACACATCAAACAGCTAGAAAGTGCCTTCTATTTCCACCTTACACAGCCTTTATCAAACGCGTATGACGTGGGGGGAGAGGGTATTTTAATAAAACCGCTCTGGAGAAACTGACACAGAAACGGTGACACACGTGCACTAGCTTTCTAGTTGTGATTCACCGTTTCTAGAGCGGAGACCAATCTCCAAGTGCTAGTGTCAGCCGGGGCCAGCAATGGGGGAGGTTGCCGAACCGTTGTTCCCTACCCCGAGCGTATCACACGTGTTGCTAAAGTCATAAACGCCAAGCTGGCGACAGAAGCTCCATCCAGCAGTTTTTTTCTTCATCCCATCATTGCAGGCTCCTTGCCAATGGACAGCAGGAGGCAAGATGAATACAAACATGGTCTTAAGTCAGTCATCACTGTGGCTGTTGTTACTGAGAAGAATATAGTTTTTTCTTCTTTTTTTTAACAAATGCACCTTGAAGCTTCTGTCTCCATTCGTACACCAGCTGCTCTGCTGTCTTATAAAGCACGTGTATAGCCTTGCCATTAACATCCAGTAGGAGGTCTCTAACAAAACTTTTGGAAACCAAATATTAACGTCAGGTTAAGAAGTATCTCTAGTCACTTAATGCCCAGGGTTTACAACGTTGGAACCTGCTTTTTACTTGAATATTGGAGCATCCACGAGTTTAACTCTATGAAAATCAAGTAATAACCCGTTGACTCCTGCATTCTCAGGCTAACAGAGGGGGTTAAAATAACATTTCGCTACGCACAAGTTCAATAAAACTTTTATTTTTTATTTTATTTTTACCGCTTGAGAATAAGTTCGTTTGTTTTGTTTTAGCGCAACGAGCTTTATGCGCTCTGTCTACCACGAGAAATCATTTACAGGAGTTTAGCGTTTAAGTCTATAAACATACCGCTGAACCACTGGGACTCTAAAATAAGTAATTTTAGAATTAAATTAAACTAAGATGTTATTATAAATACGTAGAACAAAATTTATTTTGCTACTTTTAAACTCTGCCCTCTGTCGATTTGATTCGTTTGTTTGTTTTTAATTATACACAAAGCTACACAAGGGCTATCTGTGCTCTGCCCACCACGAGTATCGAAACCCGGTTTCTTGCGTTGTAAGTCCACAGACTGGGGGGCACTGTCGATTTGATTCGTTTGTACCTATTACCATGGGGTAATTACAAAAAAGAACAAACGCACGTATCACGGTATAAGTACACACATGTAAGTGGAACACTGACGGTCCATGTATCACTCATTAAATTTCTAAACTTCGAAGTCTTGGATAAAACTGCTAGGAATTTCAAAGAAGAAAAAGCGAAAAAATCAAAAATAGACAGAAAATGTGCTGTTATGTAACATTTGAAAACCATAGTTACCTTATTTTCAATTTTAAACATACGTTTTTTGTTTTTTTTTAGTTTTTATTAAGCACAAAGCAACACAATCGTCTTTCTGTTCCAACCACAGGTATCGAAACCCCGTTTTTAGCGTTCTATGCCCTCCGGCTTACCGCTGAGCCACTAAGGGGAGGGGGAGACTTTTAAGCATGTGGTCCACTTTCCCGAGCACATAAAACACAGGGCCCATGTTACTGAATGATTCTTACTATATCCATTTTCCTGGACAGCAACAATAAATAAACATCGGTTTGAAAAGAACGCATGCCACATTGATTGGTTAACTGTTTAGGGCCACAGAAGAGAAGCTCCGACGTTTCCGTCAAATTTGGCGAGTACAGTTACAAGGCTTTGATACAATTATCTGCCAGTTCCCAACAGGAAACTGGAATGTGAAATGCATTAGCAGAGAAGAATCACATAACTTTTTAATATTGCTCAAATTTGAGGACTATGAACGCCTTGTAAGACTTGCTCAATTATATGTTCAGTTAACAGAACGACTAACGATATATACGACTAACTAAATAAATTAGATGGATCTTTTTTTGCATTCATACTAAAAGCGAATTCTTACATTTTGCAGATTAAGGAAGTCGTGCAATATGTTAGTGAAAAGTAGCCATAACGTTCAAATTTATGACATTACCCATCGGTAGTGTTTTATCGCTGGAATATAGGTAAAAGTGATGATTACATTAAGTTTTGTTTTGAATTTCGCGCATAGCTACTCGGGGGCTAACTATCCCTAATTTAACAATGATAGACTAGAGAGAAGACAGCTAGTCAACACCACCCACCACCAACTCTTGGGTTGTTCTTTGACCAACGAACAGTGGGGTTAACCGTCACATTATAAAACCCTCACGGCTGAAAGGATGAGCATGTTCGGTGACAGAGATTCGAAACCGCAAAGCACAAATTGCAAGTCAAGAGCCATAATCACCAATCCATGCCAGGCCCAAATCACATTAAGATCAGAAGGATTAATAAGTCTAAAACATGTAGAAGGTTCTCTAGTAAAATCAAGGGTAGATAAAAATACGAGATAGTTGTTTCTAGCCAGTGAAGGGTATTAGTATTTATTTTTTTTGCCGTTTCAGGCGTGAAGCGGTGTAAGTAAGTTTACTCCTTACGTTAGCGAGTGTAGTTAGTGTCATTTGTAAACGTGGTCTACAGTGAAGGCAGTTTGTTAAAAAGTTTTTTGTTTGTTTTTCGAATTTCGCGCAAACTTACACGAGGGTTATCTACGCTAGCCGTCCCTAATTTAGCAGTGTAAGACTAGAGGGAAGGCAGCTAGTCCTCACCACCCACCGCCAACTCTTGGGTTACTCTTTTACCAACGAATAGTGGGATTGACCGTTACATTATAACGCCCCCACGGCTGAAAGGGCGAGCATGTTTGGTGTGATGGAGATTCGAACCCGCGACCCTCAGATTGTGAGTCGAGTAAGAAATAAACTAATTTGTTATAGTTCATATGGACAGAACTTTGAATTATTTTAACCAGATGATTTAAAAGAACCCACCAACAAAAGAACAATGTTTCAACACTACTGTTAGAAGTGGGATTAATTTGGTGAAAATAAAATAGAACTTCGATTAAACTTTAACTTTCATTGAAGATTGTCACAAAGCCTCAGAGTGAGACAGGGAATTTGATAGACACGATAAAAGAATGGAAAGAAACAGAGACAGAGTATTTAAAGAAGATCTGAAAGAACAAGACAGAAATTTTAAATAAAATCAAGAGAAGAGAAATTTTTGTTTATTTGTAAGAACAAAGCTACACAATGGGCTATCTGTGTTATGCCCATCACGGGTATCAAAATTTAATTTCTAGTGGTGCAAGCCTTCAGCCTTGTTGCTGAACCACTGGGGGACGAGGAAAGAGACAAATTTAAAAGAAGACCAGGAAGAAAAAATTAGAAGAATATGACAGGTATTTAAGGAAGGAGTTAAAAGAAAGTGACGTATTACTTATGGAAGAATTTAAGTCAAAATAAAAGTGATTGAAGCCAAAACTTGTGAAGTTATAGGAAATGTACAGAGGGATTACAATAATAACTCTGAAAAACTGTGGAAGGGCATCAAAGAATTACAGAAAGGCTGTGATGATGAAATTGAAGATGTACAAAAAAAAACGAAACATGAGCAATGTAAAGAAAGATATCAACGATGTTGAAAAGAAAATTACCAAAGTATAAAATAACATTAATGGACAGAATAAAACATCTGAAAAAGGAATTATTAACTGTGAAGATTAAACCAGCCACACCTCTTTCTGCATCATCTCAGGAGTTCCTGGAATGCCATGTGGAATAGGAACTCCTTCCATAGGATACCAGAAAGAGGGGGACTATTATAATTGTGGGAAATATGGCCACTACAGCAGAGACTGTAAGGAATCGGCTATTATTATGCCAAAGAGTCGATGTCTTGAGGATGTGTCTTAGAGAATAACCAGATCAAATGAACAATAAAAGGCTAACCAGATATCAAAAAGACAGGAACTAACCAGATTCATAGAGTTCAGCTGAAAAAAACT